TTGCAAGCTCGGAAACCAAAACGGGTCCGTATAAGAATTAAAGGGATAAGGGCTGTAAGGGTGAAAAAAAGGGTGGGGGGAGGAATACCTACCGTCAAATACAATATTTTTTGCGTTGTTGGTAAAAATTTGGAAACGCTTATGTTATGAAAATGAGGCATGTTGTGCTATATGATTTTGCGATATCTGACAGCTGCCATTACTAAATAAATGAACGCCAAGATATTTAACAAATTCCATTTTTACAGTAGTATTATAGATTTTTATGATGATACGGATTAATAATAAAATAGAGAAAAACAGAATCTCTCAAGAAAGCCCAACACGACAAAATTTTATATTGTTGCAGGCTCGGTTAGATTGAGTCTGTTCATGGACGGTACTGGAAAGTGAAAGTTACCGTCCACGCCCATTTTTGCACCGGCTCAAGCAGAATTTAACATGAACGGGTACAATTTTGAATAAGTCTGCCATTTTGATAAATCGAAGCTTCAGATTTTTCAACATTAATAGTAAGACCACAAGATTGATTCAATTCAATTGAATGTAAGTTGAAGATTTCTTTCACATTTGATAAATAGAACAATGACGTCTGCGTGCATTTACAAAAATATAAATTTATATCATTGAAATGATACAAAATATGGTAAACAAGATCAACAAAGAAAGGCGGCGTTCAATGAACGCAACCCACACAAGAACCAGCGGCCAGGATACTGGACATATTACCATTTATTTCATTTATCAAGACAATGCCTAAGGGAGATAACTTCGAATTAACTGAATTCAAATATTGACAGAGTTGTTCATGACACGCAATGCTAAACCTATGCTGAACTTGAAACTAACGCTTTTGTTTGACTGTTTATGCTAGACGTATTTGTGTTCAATTCAGTTTAAAAAGTTGGCAGACGATGAATACAAAATAGAGTTGGCGCCATTGTTGTGATTTCAAAATAAAAATACAACCGAATATTGATATTTTCTTTTAAAATTTAAATGGCGTTGACCTAAGTTTATTATTGGTACTATTGGTAGCAATAAATAGAAAAAGCAATAAAAATAAAAACAAGAAAAAAGCGATCTTTTGTTTTTGTTTCAAGCACACATACTTATACTTCTATTGTTTCAGACACAAAAATTGTTTTCAGACAGAAAACGTTATTAAATCAGAGAAAAGACTATGCTTACACCTGTTAGTTTTTATAAAATTACGCTAATTTTCTTTTGCATGTAAAATAGATTATATTTGCATTTTAATTTTAATCTAATAGTTTTACACGTTCATATGTCCTCTCCCAATTCTGATTTCATGCCTTCTGAGCGCCATGCTGTTGTGACTTTGGTGTGTCTGGGACTGCGACCTGTGAACGTTGCCTTTGCCTTGTTGATCTTCATTCTCATTTGTTGTTCAGTTGTGTGTGTTGATATTTAGTAAAATTTATAAGTCTAATGCGTAGTAATTCCATTGGTTTTACGCGTATGTTCTGTGCGCATATTTGCTTACGTTTCTGACAAAGAAAAAGAAAAGACTATGTAAGATGTTGGGATGTGAAAATATCTAACCAAAAATGAGGTCTAAATTGGCAGATTTGGATTGTAACTAAAGTTACATTCGCTGATCCGTTTTTTGTTGGGTATGTGTTTCTATCCAAAACCCACCACGGACCTCGTGTTTATATTACGCAATGAATACAATTATATACAAACCATGCAATACTACAACTTGTTCGCTGTTTTTATTTATGAATATTTTATCTGGTTTTTAATCCATGAGGTTTAATTAAATTTTATTGGTGTTCTTTGTTAATTTTATATGAATATTAATGATAAGTTTGTGCAATTCATTTTTCGGTCTTTAGCAAAGGCAGTAAATGATATGCTTGTTAAAAGAAAACAAACTACTGACAAACGTTTACATAATTAGTCTGCACGCACCGATTTGCATGTAACTATTGATCGTGTCCTTTATCTAGTCGGTCGTGATAACAGCTAGTATACTTGGATACAAAGTGCATGTCGGAAAATATGTTAAAAGTGATAAAAGCACTTTAAGGTAAGTCTTTATTATACATATTAAATGTCATATTGTTCTCATGCCCAATTGAATGATTATGAGTTCAATAGTTTAAAGTTGTTTATCTTTAAGGTTAAACAAAACAATCAAAATAGACAGAGTTTACGATTACTACTACTACGTGCTGACCTTGATTAAGTTTGGCATTAAGTCGCTGCTTAGTGATCTGAAATTGATTTACTGTTACACATAGATTAAAATAACTAACAAAGAAAAGGACAATATCGGTAAAAATATTCTAGCATCTTATCAGATTTAATAGCGATATTTTCCGAAAACAGTAACCTGCTTTTGTATAAATCATCGGGTGGTTGGTTGAGGTATTTCATCAATATCACAAAAATGTTTAAATTGACATAACCATCGCCTTTTGAATTTTTTTTTGAAAGTAGTCATTTGTGAATTATTTAATATTGTGCAATGGTTTTCATTGATGTAATATATCCAAGTAAATATGTGAATAATACTTTATAGGATTATTAAGTAAAGAAAGAAACTTAAGAAGAACTTTACAAAAACAGAAGAAAAGATTCCTATATTTTATGTGCATCAATATTGTTTGAAATAATCAACAATAGTTTTTTTTAAAAAGGGTTCAAGTTCAATTCGACCATTTGTACTTATAATTTGTGTTCTATGACGAATGTGTCACTGTTATATCTTAAACTAATCCATACGCACTTCAACTGACCTATAAGTTTCAATTACGTCGGCAAAGATTATGTCAATCCTCTACGACAATTTGTAAACACAAATATACTCTTATTTCATTAACAAACCATTACGAAATGGCAATGTCGGAATTCCGGGTACTTCGAGAAAGCTTAAACATCCTGTTGATTTTTGAGTCGGTCCTTAAGTGGTGCAATTACATTTATGCATCCTACACGGTCCTAATTATTTAAATATTATTAGAATAATGGATTACACAAATAAATCAAAACAATTTGTCTGTAAAAAAGGAACATATGTCAATGATTGTGGTAAATCAGTATTATTTACTAGATCAATATCAGGGAAGGGATCTATCAATTTCATTTGTATTTGTTAATGTATATAGTTCACAAGATCGCATAAGAAAATTCAAGTTTCACACCATGTTCATCTTAAATCTTTACGTTTATATTTGCATTGATCGACAGGGGGCATTTAAAAATGTGTGTATGGTATTACCTTGCGATAATATTATACTGAATACGTTTAAAAGGTTACTTTTTATATAACATTTAAGTGTAAGCAATGAAATAACCACGCTCAGTTATGAAATATAAACTTTCACGAGACCGAAATAGCCTAGAGTTATTATAACATGTTTCAAATATGTATAATGTATCTCGTGTTAAACCAGACGATTTATGCAATGTGTTTGTGAAATATTATGTAAAGACATTTTGCAGAGGACAATTTTTTGGCGTGCGGTAACATATATTTTCACCGATAACATGAAAATACAATCGAGGAAGTTTCAATAGCTTTAAAAGAAGTCGCTTCAGCTTTTATATAGACATTAGTAAGATCGTGGCATTTGCTTAAACTTCGCATGTTATATATGCAAAGAAGGTTTGGGGTCGCTGATATCGTTTTTTTACTGTAAAAATATTTATTTCCTCGGGGTTAATATTCTGCGATTTTTTTAATAACAATAAGGTCTTTAATGTCCCTGTACCTTATTTCTGCGGCGAAGTCAACCTTGCAATGATGTGTTTTATTCCTGCGGTTCTATGTACTTACCTTAAACATATTTATTTGAACGATCTGATAACCAAAATATGAATATTATTTGTTATCGTAGCATACATTTTTGTTACAAAATGGTTAATTAACATGTAAGAAGATAATCATAAGAAAACAGTTCCGCTGAATGTAAAATTGTTCTTCATAAAAGTCGCAAAATGTAAACAGAAATGTACAAAAAAGTACAGACATAACAGCTTAAAATTCTAAGGGTTTCAAATTTGCGATTGCATTGAACTCTGCAGAAAAAGGTTCAACAGAAATATATACGTGTACGGTAACTTTCAATGAATGCTAGTGCACAAATACGGCTAGCTCTCAAGTGGCCTGTCCTTTGTACAGAGCACATTAATTAACAGCTTAACACTTTTGCAAAAAAGACACAAATTCGTTTGAAATAAGGATCTGTATAAAAGATATGCTGTAAATATTCACCGTAACGTAGGACAGCATGAAATGTCCATCATATCTATTTGTAGGTGGGTAGCTAAATTTAGAAATGTTCATAGAATTTGGAATATTATTCTATTTGAAATTTTATATATCTAATGCAAAGATTTCTGACATTGAACAGACTAATAAAAAATGTTTCACAGATAATTGTATTTAAAAATAAGGGTTCTAGTTTGTTTATCTCGTTTTCTCGATGCGTCTCAGGTAACAAATTTTGTTGTCGGAAAAATAAATTAAAGTGTTTCTAGGGCATAATGAACCGTTAATAGCTTTAATACCTAATGCGGATGAACATGTACTAGTATGGATTTTTTTCTACAGCATTTCGAGTAATATTAAAAGCTACACGTTACAAGGAAATATAATTATAAAGCAATTACAAACACATGCACTTATTTTGGTTTTCATTACAGAAACTATAAATGATGGCTCCTCTTGTTCTGACAGAAGAAAAATCGGATTGTTTTCGACTACAGGTATTAATAGTAGATTTCGGTACTCTTGTTCTAAGACACACGTTTGATCAAATTGTGCAACCGCAGCCGCTAAAAGATTTTTTAAAGAAATCAAGAGCGAAACTCGACATCTTATGGAAGAAAAAAGTCATTTCGAACGAGCAATGGAATTTACTTTTCCCCCAAACCAAAGATCCAGATTCCGCAACATTTGATGTATCTCTCATTTGTTGTTTGCTTCTGAATATTTGTGGTCTTAACAGTCAATCACACCCTGCTGGCTGGGTACCATCCTCAATGGACTTATCAAAAGAAGCAGACATAACAAGGATCAGAAAAATGAGAAATGATGTAAGTTACTTAGCCTTATGAAAATAAGTTAAAAACTTATTAGCTGAGAGTATTTGTATCATTTACAGTCGCATATCAATATCAATACTCTTGACTTGATTCTTGAAATTTTTAACAAAATTTGGGTATCTGGTAAATTTCCCAACACTTGAAATGTGCGTTGGTTATTCCTATCCCTAAACATGAAAAGATTCAACTGACCCTACAAATTATCGTCCGCTGCCTCTGCAAAAATTTCGAGAGAATGATAAATAATCGGTTAGTTTTGTATCTAGAAAAAAATTGAATTATCACTTATTTTCAGCCAGATTTTCGTAAACAGCGGAGTACAAACGATCATCTCGTCCGACTTGAAACTTTTATTAGAGAAGTCGTTGTAAATAACCAATACCTGGTATCAATTTTCTTTGATCTTGAGAAGGCTTACGATATTACTTGGAAATATGGTATCCTATAAAATCTAAACGACGCTGGACTTAAAGGCAAACTTCCTATTTTCATTTCTGGATTTGTCGATAGGCACTTTAAACTAAGACTTGGTTCAATTTTTTCTGAGGACCACCAGCAAGAACAAGGTGTTCCTCAAGGAAGCATACTTTCTGTAACACTTTTGGTCTTAAAATAAACTATTTTGCTAGTGCTCTTACACCAGGCATAGATTGTTCTCTATATGTAGACGATTTTCTTATCTGTTATCGATCGAAACGTATAAGAACAATTGCAAGGCAACTTCAACAAAATTTAGATAAAATTCAAACGTGGGCAATAGAAAATGGTTTAAAATTTACAAAGTCAAAAACTCAATGTGTTCATTTTTTGTCGATTGCGGAAACACCATAATGGCCATGAACTCTACATATCTGGTTCTAAAATTCCAGTAGTTGATGAAGCTAAGTTGTTAGGAATCATATTTGATAAAAAAACACTTTCTTTTATATCAAAAATTAAACATTTAAAAACTAAATGCCTAAAAGCTTTAAGTTAACTTAAGTTTTTATCAAGTACAAATTGGGGATCAAATTCTTTCACGTTACTGAAATTATACAGAAGTTTTATCCGATCAAAATTAGATTATGGTTCTGTAGTATTATATGGGTCTGCAAGAAAATCACATCTTCAAATTCTAGATACCATACATAAACAGGGTTTACGTTTAGCTTTAGGTGCTTTTCGCACCTCATCTGTAGAACGCTTACATGCGAAAGCTGGGGAACCATCGCTTCATCTTCTTCGAAAAAAGCTATCACTTCAATATGCAATTAGAATTTCATCTAACAGCAAAAATGCAGCTAAACAAATTATTTTCAAACCAAGTTATACTGAAATATTTGTTAACAAACCAAAGGAAATTAAACCATTAGGCCTTCGTTTAAAAGACGATTTAGATAAACTTAAAATTAATCCAAACAGTATCCTTCAAAATGACGCTGAGGATGTTCCACCTTAGACTTATGATTCCCCGAAAATAAATATTAACCTTTCAAATATAAAAAAGTATCAAATTCACCTGAACATTTGAAAGAGAAGTTTCTAGCAATTAAGGAAGAACATGAATACTTTATACATATAAATACGTGCGGTTCCAAAGAAGGTTGAAAAGTAGGTGCGGCTGTTTTTGAAAATAATTTTACATCTAGTATGAGGGTACCAGATAATGCATCAATTTTTACTGCTGAAGCAAAAGCTATAGATTTAACATTGTCATACATAGAGCAGCATACCCATGATAAATTTGTGATATTTTCTGACTCCCTTTCTGTTTAATATCCATTAAAATAAAAAATCTGACAATATCATGATATACTTAAAAACAAAATCTGTTAAATTATATTGGACTCCAAGTCATGTAGGTATACGAGGAAATGAAAAGGTAGATGTAATTTAAGAGCGACTATAAATAAACTCGCATCATCGGAATGGAAAGCAAATTGGGACAATGCCGTTTTTAATAAACTTCACGATATAAACCCATCTCTTGATGTGTCACCATCTCTTTCTTTGTCAAACCGCCATGATCTAACAGTTCTTCTTCGATGCCGAATTAAACACACTAAAATTAACCACTCTTATCTCCTCACGAATGACAATGCGCCTTTCTGTGTAGCTTGTAATGAAAATTTTACTGTCAATCATTTTCTTCTTGAATGTGATGATTTTTAACAGACCCGTAATAGAGTTTATTGTGTAAATTTACTCAAAGAACTCTTTAATACAATTCCATCCAAAAACATTATTGATTATTTGAAAGAGATCAACTTGTACTCTAGGATCTAATTGGCTCATTTCTATTGTCATTTACAAAGTTTTACATAACATTTTAAGCCTATTATAGCATTCTGCACGATATGGTCAGTTATGTGTTGACATGCCGTAAAAATCCAAACGAACAAATAATACATTGTTGCTTAATTATAGTGGAATTAAATATACCTTGCAATGTAATTGTGTATTTATGTTTGTCATCAATAAATAATGTTATATTAACGATGATCATTTTATTATATTTTTTGACAGATTGCGCATTTAAAAAACATGTCAATTACAAAACATCATTTTCAAGTCAGCTGGAACGAAATGGAACAAGTATGTGTAAAGTTTTTATTCCATACTCGCATTAAGTGCCATGAATTTAAACATCCTCATCTATGCAATATTTAATATTGTCTGTCATTGTGACGCTTTTTATGTTATTACTAAGCTTTATTGTAGACAGTAGTGAACTACAAACGATATTATTATATTTCCTTGAAATACCTTAAGACTATTTACCATGCAGTTTGTGCTATTCCCGGTATTTATGTATAGAATATGCCAAATTAATATAAAATACATTCTGTTTTTAACATGATTTATATAATCTTTTCAATTAAATGTTTGGATTAGAAATGATAAATCAAACTTTAAACAAATCACTTACCATTGTATCTTTATTCTGTTTCAATTGAAGGTAATGTTACGGCTTGGGGCAGGAATCCCAAATTTGCAAAACGACATTCTTACGTTAAGAGATAAAAGTATAGACCCAGCTAAAGAAAAGAATATCAGAAAATAATTAAAGAGTGGGAAGAGACGGATATGATAATTCAAAAACACATAGATGAAATCAATTCAAAGCTCGAAAAGACCAGAGAAGACATTGAAAGAGTAAAACAAGATCTAGAAAATGCAAATCAAAAATCGACAGAGGTTTGTAATACAGTTGCTATTCACGAGAAAAAGATAGAGACTATTGAAAACAAACAAATAGAAGAAACAACACGTATTGATCAACTTGATGATGAATCGTTGGAACAAAGAACACAACTATCTGTAATGGAGTCAAGACAAAAGAAACTAGAACAAGACGTGAAGGACACAAGTATAACATGTATTTTTATATTTGTTTCTTATTTTTACAAATCACGAAAAATCACTATTCAATATAACTTTATTATAGTCGCTGAAGAATATTTCCTAAGATAGATGACCAAAAGTAAATAGTTTTCATAATCCGTACGAAATACAAATGTCAGTCATAAACATTGAATTCACAGCATATTTATGACTGAAGGAATAACTTACCTTTCAGGTATCATTTATATGATTTTCCTGTCCGTACTCTGCCTTGCGCCCTGTCCAGTTTTTGTTTGGGGTCCTCCGCTGGTTCCTGTTGTTTGGTCGTTTGGGTTGCGTTCATTGAACGCCGCCTTTCTTTGTTGATCTTGTTTATCATACTTGAATTTTTTATGTATCATGCACTCTTTATTTTTGCCTATAATAATATATTATTCTTAATTTATTGATTATAGATATTATATTTGCAATCAACCGTTCAAATAATTAACAGAAACAATCTCTTTTCGTATCCTCAAATTTATATCACTTGGTTGATGCTTACTTTTATATCATTGTAGTAACTACAACGGCGAAAAGCAAGTTGCATCCTCGACTTCAAAACCTTGCAAGTAAGTTTTCATTTTTGTGTAACAAAATCTATTATTTAACTAAAATACTTTGCGACATAATCATGCAATACCCTTTATGTACATATATGTAAGCTTATTAAATATATATGTTTTTTTTTTATATTTTGCTTGACATTTTATTCCATTCGAGTATAATAGCAATTTATATTAAAAAAGACGCTTGTAATGCGCCAGTTAACTTATTATTTGAACATAGTGAATAAATCTGATCAAAATAAAACAAAATTAAAAAAAGGACAGTATAAATTACATATATGCATAGATTCAAATGTTTCGTGTATGCTTTAGAATTTTATTTGCATTTGTTTCTCTGTTCTACTATATTACTTCAGCTATTACGGAACTTTACACCGAAGACCAAGCTCGCGACAATGTGTATGTTGAAACAACAGCACACAAGAATGCAAAGGAAATATTACTTAAAACGGGCTGCATTATACTAATTGGACCTCCAGGAGAAGGAAAGACAACTATGGCTACGAAGTTGTTATCAGAAACATCTCAAAAAGGTTCATGTCTAAAGCTTACCTTGCCAACAGATTGGGATAATATTGACATCAACAAAGGGATGTTTGATACAATTTTCATTGATGATATATTTGGCGCTGGAGCACTGGATGAAAACCTCTTAAATGGCTGGTCACTACGTTGCAAAGATATGGAAAAGGCTTTACAAGCGAAAATGATTAGAATAATTATAACCTCTCGACATTACATTTATTTCGAAGCAAAAATGAAAGTTCAAAAATGCACTATATTCAAACATGAGAATATCCAGCTCCTTGCATCGTTTAATCTTACTTCTTCAGAAAGAAGTGCCATAATCACAAAACACGTAGACAATGCTGATAAAGTGTTAAGTACTAAAGAAATAGAACAATGCAGTCAAACGTATGAAAAATCGATCACTTTCTCAAGAAATCAGTACAAATTACCAATTGCCTTAAGTGGCTACCTTTCTCAAAAAGGGCACATCAAAGCAATGATTGGATTTCCTGAAATTGTTTCATTGTTTTGTCACAATGAAACGTTATTTAACTTGAGATCTTACTTCTTTTCAAAACCGAATTTGTTTTTTAAGAAGTGTCTCGGTGAGCTATTTGTGGACGAGGAAAAGTTTCTTGTTTTAATTCTTATTTGGACCAGACCAAACAAACAGTTACACTTGAAAAGTATCGAGCCAAGTAACTTATCTAACGAAATGAAAGAAACTGCTCTTAAGTTTGGCATTGACCTGAAAGGGCATATTGTACGAGTCCTTATGAAATCCGTGAAATATCATAAATATGGATTCATTATGTTTGACAAACAAAATGGAGTTTGTTCTTTCACACATAATATCGTAAAAGATATGGTAGGCCTTGTTGCTGGTCAGAATTATCCAAATGCAATTATTGAGTTTGCTGACATGGAGTTCATTATGGAGTATGTGACGACTGATAAAACAAAAGATGATGGTTACCATATATTCGTAAATGAATATCATTTCGAGGAACTACTTAAAGCAATTTGTAAGCATATGAATGTGACAAAACTAAAATCATTTTTATGTTTTTCTGCAAAAAAGAGAGATTTCGAAATTCGTAATAATTTTGGCCGTGTTTCTCCAGATTTTGCATTACCTGGTGAGCTCAACATAAATACGACAGTTTTAAAGCACGACTGCTTTAGTCATTCTGAGTTCGTCAAAATGTTTTATGAAAGCATAATAGGACGTTTCATTATGTCAAGGCCAATTGACACATTGCCAATCATATGCACTGACTGGAACTGCGATATTGATTTTGGAGGACTAATCCCTGTTTATCTACCATCGCTTGCACTTCTGTACAAACACAAATGTCCCCTTAACGTGTATTTTGAACTAAATTATCATCTAGTAAGTAACGAGGCAAGTTTCATAAGGACAAATTTGCTTATAGCATCTCATCAAGGTTTGAAAGATATCATACAAATGTTGGTACAACATGGTGCTGTTGTGTGTGAAGATGCAATTTATTTTGCAGCAGCTAAAGGCCACGTTGAATGTCTTGAATGTTTGCTTCATAATAGAAATCATGAAAATGTGGCCTATGCAAATAGCCATAATAGAAACAGCCCTTTAATTGCAGCAGCAAAATGCGGTTCTGCAGAATGCATTAAATTACTACTCAGTCAAGGTGCAGATATCAATTATAGAAACCGATTCAATTGGTCGGCTTTGGATAAAGCAATTATGTATCGCCAAACTAAGGCATGCAAAGTATTACTTGAACACAATGCATCTGTAAATACTAAAGCTGGAAAATATAAAAGAACGCCGCTTCATTTAAGTGCCGACATGGGAATCAAAGATATTACAAAATTGCTTTTACAATATGGAGCGACCATAACTGCAAAGGATTACAGAGGACACTATCCTATCCATTGTGCTGCCCTTCAAACGTGGCCAAGTATTGAGGTAGTGGAAATGCTACTTAATGCAGATGTTTCCCGTGTAACATTGAAACGTAGAATATCCTATGGAATTAGATCGGTCATTAAAGGTGCAGATTTGTTTCATGTTGCAGTGTACAAGAAGAGTTGGAGCCTTGTGGACTTACTGTTGAAATACAATGTAAACCCAAACGTTAAAGATTTTTATGGACAGACACCATTTTACCGAGTGATAGCTAATTGTCACCAAGAAACGAGACCTTCAGAGGTAGTAAGCGGGGATTCTTTTGATGGTATACTGAAAGAAGTAATGGATGTGATATTCAAAGTTCGACCAACCAAGGTTGAGTCTGACAAATGGTCAATCCTTCAGATTATTAAAAGTCTGCTGCCAGTTGCAGACGTTATGACGCCAGACAAACACGGATATACGCCATTACATGCTGCAGTTCATAAAGGTTTGATTGAAGTTGTAAAATTGTTGTCCCCAAAAGTGAACGTCAATGCACAAGATAAATATGGGAAATCGCCTCTTCATACCGCATGTGAGCAACTAGATTTAGAAATATTTACAATATTAGTAGAAGACTTCAAAGCTGATTATCGAATGCTGACAAACTCTGGTCAATCTATTTTTGATATCTTACAAAAAAGAACATCGTGGAAAAATATTTGTAGGAGATACAGGGATAAAAAGCCTGTTAAAAGTTACATGTTAGAAAAACCACCATTTAAGTCTTTTAGAGATGTCATCGCTGCAAAAGATCCTGAATTCGCAAGTAGAGCAAGCTTAGACAAAAAAACGAACAGTGTATGAAACTTTAACCATCTGTTGTTTAAAATATGAATTCAACATACGCCGGTGCAAGGGGCGAGAACTGTAGCTTACGTTTGTCTAGGAATATGTTCAGTAAAACCTAACCTCAAACATTTTCAATTTGGCCGTTTCCTTTCTTCTTTTTTTTGTAACAGTAGCTTCTTTTGAATCCTCAACTTTCAGGAAAATGTCAATTTCATAGTGTATTAGGTTTTTGTTTATAACAATCCGTTTTATGCCCCACCTTATTTTGAAAAAAAAAAACAACAAAAAACGAATTTATGGTTTGCTATGCTTCTTTTTGAAAACCGTATTTTTCATTAAGCTGTATTTTTTTTGTTCCAAATGACCTCTTACTTTTAAATATTTTTTGCCCGACATTTCAAATATACTTAAGAAACACTGCCATGTTTAGCATGTAAAAATCTTGAAAGAGTTTGATCCCTCGGATGCAATTAAACAACACAATTACACGAAACTGCAGACCCTGTTTGATTGAGTCTGTACACGGGGAATTATGAAAATTACAACATCCCTCATGCCTCTTGCACCGTCTTGAGTGGAACTCAAGTTACAACACTGAATATGTTGCAATCAATGAAAGACCAGAACAATATAAAACAAAACTGAAGTGAAGTACGGGACAACTTTTTACCACTGCCACTATAACCGAAGAAATATGTCATTGTTTTGCATTTTTGTCATTTCTTCTGCTCATACCTGTCACACAAGCCGTTACCACTAGCATTGGCTTAGTTTCTAAGTTGATGAAGTCACGTCCATTATAATTATCAAATACAAATAATTTATTAACAAAAGTTCTTTTATGAATTGAATTTATTAAAATGTATGTAATAAATATATGAGTATTACAAAATGTAAACTTTGTTTACAACGTCCTTGTCTAATGTAAATAATTAATAAAACAGCCATGACTGAAATGATTGAAATGTGATAAAACAAAAAAACAGTAATAGTACAGCGATGTTTCATTGTATTATTATATAAATTTACTATCTATTTAAAGAATTAACATCTGCATTATATTCGTTAACCCTTTCGCTGCCAGAGGGTTATTGTTTTATTGATCACCTATTTGCCAGAGGGTTTTCTAAGAAAATGCTATATTATTAATTATAAATATAATTATTATTATTATTTGTAATTAGTATTATAATAATTATATATGTTTCCAATATGCTAGTATAATACTAATTATTGTCGATGGTATAATTTTATTCATATTTATTATTATTTTTATTATTATTATTAATTTATTATTATTATTATGTTTATGTCTAAAGCCGTCTATATGGCAAATACGCCGAAAATAACAGGGACGGCATAAGCCGTCCCTATGGCAGTGAAAGGGTTAACGATGGCGTCAGAAATTTACCGTGTCAAATAAAAAATGTCCTAGGTATATGGTTATGTTATGTTTAAATGTCAAAGTAATAATAGATCACGGGGAAAATCTAGTTAAGTTACTTTGAAAAAATTCAGTTCAGATTTACCTAACTACCATTTCTTATATTGACCGTCATGTCAAATATACTTGAAGAAAAACTGCCTTGTTTATTAGAATCGAGTCACAGATAATGTACGCAACCTTTGTTGAAAATATAAATTACACGAGCAGCAGTGGGGTCGGTTTGGTACGTAATCAAGTAGTGTGTATGATATAATTAATTTTATAACACGCGTTTTATAACAAAGAGGACAATATTACGACAAAAGTGTGTTTTTATTTATATTAAACGTGTATTATAATAATGATAAAGGGGGTTATTTAGGAATGATTAAAAGTGTAGATTGGAGAAAAAAAATCGAATTTTTATACTGACAAATGTATATAGAAACCCGTAATCATTATGTCACATTTGAATTTAATAAAATATAAGTATTATAATAATTTGAAGAATAATTTGGATAAAACGTTTGGTCAAATTTGAATATATATAAAAAATGATGTTTGTTTTACAGGATAAAGATATCCCTCTTAAATAGATTCTTATTAGGTATAAATAATGATACTGCACTACTATACTTGTCGATAAGAAAATATTTATACATGATATTTTAGCAAATATATAAATGTTATAAGAATGTCTAATTTGAAGAATAAATTATGATTTTGGTCACATTTTAAATATTAAATGCTGTTTGTTTTACATAATATCACAATTGAATAGATTGCAATGCGGTAAAAATTATAATATTTATACTGTTACTAAAATACCAAATGAATAACGATGTACATCTTTTTTTTTTCTTTTACTGATAGATTTATAGCATGAATGATGAATGCATTTTCTAATCTAAGTAAAAATGTTGCAGTGATTAATCCGTTTAATTACGTTTTATTTTTTCTGGTAATTTAAAGTATTGATTTAAAGTTGGTATTGACATGATTAGGGAGTTTTAGTAGATAAATTGGTAGAATGAATTCGATGGTACAGAATAAACTTTCATATTATACCAAATAGGTGAGGAAAATAGTAAGATTCGACCGTTTTTGTGCCACAAATCGGCAATGTAATATCTATATAGTTACGTTATTAAATGCTGGGAATTGTATCAGTCATCGTATAACACACGTATTAGATAAACTGCTTTAATTTATTGAATGGAATCGTAATATAACACCAGGGAGTGCGCAGAAATGGCCTTACAGATTAACAAAGGGGGTATGCTAATTGTTATTATTGTTTTAAATGTGCATTATAACAAAATTGATTTAATATTTTTAATCATTATGGTGTATTGTAAACTAAGTCAGAGTTTTGAGGAATGTTTCAAATAAAACTAATAATAATAATAATTGCCTTTAATTGCTTAGTTAGAGAAATAGAATTTTCCTAATCGCAACATTTTACGAAACATTTGACCAAATATATAAACGTTAGCATTATATTAAAGTCGAAGAATATAAAGTAAACTTTATAATTATGTCCAATTTAGTTTTGATCATTTTCAAAGCGAAATAACATTACCCTTCCAACCACCCACTATCTTTTAACAGTTATATTTCTTTCCTTCGTACTTCTTTACCTGATATCTTTACTGTACGCAATCAAGTTTTTTGGTTTTGTCGGTGATCATATATTTTACAATTTGACATTAAAACAACAACGCAATCGACATAATGTAAAAATATTTCATTTTCTAAAGTATATTTAATGTTATAAAGGGTACCGAACGACTTGCTTTCTAACAAAGGTGATTGATTGGCATAGACCTCAAATTTTAATTTGATACATTGAACAATAACGATTACATAAAACATTGAACAACAGTATTATGTCGTAATTGAAGCACGCCGGTGTCAATGTAGGGTCAAGTTGATGTTACTTAAATATCAAACTAAGACTAATGCCTACCCTGGAGTATTATACACCTGTGACTGCCCTTTGTTTTATTTTCGTACATGTGCGTAACCAAATTTAACTCTGTTAGAATACGCTGCTGTGTAATGCGCGAAAGATGCTCCGAAATACCTCATGCCGTGCACCGTTGGTCATTCCAACAATTCTCGGGTCACGATTTGTTTCCAACAGTAACTCGCAACTTCGTCCAACATCAAACACATCCTTATATCGCTCTTCCCATTTGTAGACAAATGTTCCGCAAGTTGTTTTTGTATCTTGTTTTAGTGTTTCGTACGGTAAACGTTTGTGTCCCGCATAAACTTTAACAACCACACACAACTCAAAGTTATTTGTTGACATTAAGCGCCGGTTAGAAGCCATACCTTTAAAACGATACTGCAAAAAAACAGCCATTCAACATCGAAATAATAAGGTACAGTACGTTGTGCGTGTGCAAAATGTCTGTAAGGTTCTCACTTCACATTGGCACATTAAATGAATTCTGAACATGTCAAGTAATAGCGTGCTAAAGTTACCAAACAGTGGTTGCTATTCATAAAAGTTTGTTAAATATCTCGTATCTATTCAGTTACCTGATAATGAATGTAAAAAGGTTGATTTACATACTCGTATATAAGAGTTTGTATGTGATATGATGAAGAAAAAAATATTTAAGAAGAAACTTATCAATCTGCCCTCGAATACTCATATTTTCCTTAACAGATTGAGTTATCTGAATTTGAAATTAAGTGTTAATGTATTTTTGTGCAATTGTTTATCTCAAACCAAATATATGTCGGCAAAATCATTCAATGTTAAATAAGCTTTGAAACACTTTTGACTTTCTGTTGTTGAAATAGAAGAAAGCATGCTTTATTGTGCAGAAGAGAAGTAACTTACGTATAAAATGTTATACGTGTTTGTTTCAGTCCTTTCCCTTTCAATATAAAATATTTTCACACACATATGCTAGTATAACATTAAATATGTTGGATTTTTATATAATTTGTACAATAATACCGAATAAACTAAATATTGTAAGTGTTTATTGAATAAAATATTGGTTAAAGAGTTTTCATTTACGAAAATCATATGCTGAAAAAACACATAACCTGCCTATGAACAAGCTAACTCACACCGAGCCTGCAGAATTTTCAGTTTGGTCGTTCTAGTCGTTTGTTAGGGATTCTGTTTGTTCTCTCTTTTTTGCATAAGCAAGTATATAACTGATGTAGGGAAGAGCGGTTCTTTGAACGTTGCTTTTAATATTTTATCTTTCTTTTCATGAGTTTTGAGGCTTTGATTTTTTTTAACTTTCAACTTAATATTTAATATTCAAAATATTTAACACACCGTTTCAAAAATATGTTAAAAATGTGAGCCCATGAGAGGGACCGCTAGACGATAATGATAACCAAACATCAAAGGGCCAGACCGAACCAGTACTTCCAGACCGGAAGCGTTGTACAGTTTCCTGTTGAACAAACTATTTTAAGGTTTGTAAGCTAGTTGTGCATTGGACCAGAATAAATGAACAAGTTTGAAAGAGGCCTACCGAATGACCTTTCTTAAGTTTGGTCAAAATCTTATCAGTTGATGGACATCAGCCGATCACAGAAGCTAATTCTC